TCCCGCCACCGCCGCCGCCGCCGCCCCCCTCTCACGTGCGTTCGCTGCCACCGCAATCCACGCCCCTCCTATAGGTACCAAAACCCAACCGAAAAATCATCGGATTTCCCAAATCTCGGAGGAGAGAGAAAGCTAGAGAGAGAGAGAGAGAGAGAGAGAGAATGAAGGGGATGAGTCTCCCCCATTTCACGTTCGAGCACAAGAGGTCAGTCGGTCAAAGATCCGTCTTTTTTTTGCGATTTAGACCCTCATTTTGTGGCTTTTTGCTTGAACCTCGCAATGTAGTTTGCTACGTTTTGGTCGGTATCAGACCGAGACCGATCGCTAGTTTCCTCTCTCGCCGGCGGATCTAGGTTTAGGATCTGCGTCTTTGATTGGATCTTACTATAAAAGCTCGAACTTTTTAGCTGCTTATTGGATTGTTTACTGCTATTTGAGGGTTTAGTCGGTCGAAGTAAATTTTAAGTTTTCTAGGGTTTGGCTAATCGGAACCTAGGGTTTGTTTTTCATTAATTTAGGCTGATTGTAGTTGGATCTTGGTAATTTTAGTGGACTTCGTCACTGAAGATGCGACTTTTAGCCCCTCCTGTAGCTTTTGTGGAGGCTGTCTTGTTTAGTAATTTATTGATGTCTCTTTTTAGGAGAGAACGACTTTTTTAATTTTTAATTTTTAATTTTTGTGGTGATTCGTGTAAACGATGAGGCAATCTAAGCTACTATTTATTAGATTTGATCTAGAGCTTTGATTTTATCTTTTTATCGGGTTATTTACTGAAAATCTAGGATTTGGTTGATTGGCATCATGAATTTAAGTTAATAGCAGACTCTAGGATTTAGTCTATCGATTATGTTTGATTGAGATAGGATCCTGCTAATCGGTGGGATTCATTACTAGATCTCCAATGTTATACCTTCCTGGCTCTTATGAAGACTGCTTTGTGTAGCAATTTGTGTCTCTTGTTAGCCAATTAATTTCTATGTTTTTAATTTTTGTTATAAGCATGTCAATTAACGAGGTAATGTTTAGCTAATATTTTAGTATCACAGAATATGCATATTATCTTTTTAAATGGTAGGGATCTGACTGATTTATTTGTTTTTTTAATATGCTGCTGAGTCCATATTGACTGGAATGCTTCATTTTTATTTTTATTTTTGCTTATGTTAGTTGGTGCTTATTGTTGAGAGTTTGACCAGGGATGCATATGGTTTTGCTGTCCGACCGCAACATTTGCAGACATATAGAGAGTATGCAAATATCTACAAGGCAATGCTTCAATTTCTTTTCATTTTAGAAACAGATATAATACTGCTTTTATGACTTATTTGTGTGCTGTATGTAATTTAGGAGGAAGAAGAAGAGAGATCAGATCGGTGGAAAAACTTTCTGGAAAGGCAAGCTGAATCTAATGAAAAACAATACACCGAGGAGAGTTTGGTTGCACAGTCACAAGACAATGGTGATCAGAAGGACAAAGAGAAGTCCGATGAGGAAACTGTGGAGAAGGAGGCTAAAACCCATAATATTCAGATATGGTCTCAGATTAGGCCCTCTCTTGCTTCCATTGAACAGATGATGAGTTCCCGCGTCAAGGATGCTAAGGATTCCAAAAAAAACAGTGAGGATCTAGGCATAAACGCTAATCATCTTGCTTCAATTGAAGAATCAAGGCACTCTGAAGACTCCGATGATGAGTTCTATGATGTGGAAAGATCGGATCCAAATCAGGAAGCGACTTCTGCTGATAGCACTAATGCCTCTAGTCAACATGCAGCTCCTGAATCATCCTCCCCATGGAAAGAAGAGTTGGAATGTTTAGTTCATGGGGGTTTGCCAATGGCTCTGCGAGGAGAGGTGAATCTAGTGCTGTGTTGTGAAATTAATGCCACTTCTTTTATGCTTCTGTTATGGCTGTACCTAGTTATGTATGTTTTTGGTGCAGCTATGGCAAGCCTTTTTGGGTATTGGAATGCGAAGAATAGAAGGGTACTATAGCAACCTGCTAAATCCAGAAAGTGATAATGGTGATGACAAGGTTTCTGATGCTTCTCCTTTGAATAGTACTGACGATGGAGCCAAAAGATCCGAGAAGTGTGCACCTGAAAAATGGAAGGTGCAGATTGAGAAGGTTGTTTTATGTGCAAACTTTGAAGCCTAGTTTCAGTATTTATCATGTCACGAAATCCCAGAATTACTAGTTGAGATAGAGTCATCAAAGCGGCATGTTTTCATTTGCCTTTTGCAGGATTTACCTAGAACTTTCCCAGGGCATCCTGCTTTAGATGAGGACGGAAGAAATGCTTTAAGACGATTGCTTACTGCATATGCTCGGCATAATCCATCTGTTGGTTACTGCCAGGTACTTGAATCTTCTTTGCAGTAGACGCTCACACACACACACACTCAACTCAAATCATGTTACTTATCTTGGGCTCATATCGTGCTGTGCTGATTCCTGTTAATGCCAATGCCCATGAAGATCGCAGGAAAAGCTGAGTTTGCCTTGTTGTATCATCAGTTCCAAATTCTGATAAAGATGCATCTGTGCTTAATACTTCATTGTAATTCTGTCATACAAAACGATATATGAGTTACGATATATGAGTGATTAAGTCATTGTTGATTATACTACTAATAAACAATTGGTATAATATAAGGCATAAAAATGAGCTGTTGAAGAATCAAAAGCTGGCATGGTTGTCCATGTTATCATACTGTTGTTTAGGGGGTGTTTGTTTCATGCAAAATTTTGGCATTTGTATGGATCACAAAGTTTGGGATGCAACCAAAAGTGAGTTTTTTTTTGTATTCTTGCGATTTCATATATGATGTTTGTTTTAAGAATTTTTCTTAGAATATTGAATTCCAAAAGTAAAAAAAGTGGCTAATTTTAGAATGTTTCTAAATCCTGCTCAATCTGAGAGGATTTTGACAATCCTATAAATGTGTGTGCTTACCTCTCAATTGGATAGTATTTGATTAACATCCTTATTTTGTTTTTTGGGGAGGTAAACCTCACAAGGATAGTAATATTCATCGTATTATAAAATTTTGGAATTGTGGTAATGCTACACATTTGGAGCTTGAAATCAAACAAAATATTACAATTGTAGTATTCATTTCAAAATATTAATGAAACAAACAATATTTTTAGAAAATCCACCATAACTAAAACACCTATGGATTTTAAATCTCATGTGAAATCCATATATCCTAAAATTATAGATTTGAAGCCAAACACTACCCTTAGGAGCCTGTTTGGTTGGTTTCGCATAAAAAACCAAAAAAAGGCAATCGGTACAGGGGAGGAATTAATAAAATATATTTTATCCCATTTCGCATCCCCTAAAACTCCCCCACAACATCCACAATATTAATTTTTTTATCCTCGCACTCAATTCATTTCATCTCCTTTCTTACTTTAAAAATAAACGGCAAACACAGAAATGTGTACAATCATCAACTCATCAACCTCTCATTTTATCTCATTTTGAAAAACTCACACACATCATCCAATATATTGTGACAACTCAATCTCATCTCATTAAACTTCATTTACAACCCATTTTCTCAAAAAAAAACAAGAAAATTAATTTCGCTTAAGTATAATGTCACTCATCCAATAAATTAGCCTCACTCATTTCTCATTCTCATCTATTTCTTATTTTTAAAAACGAACCAAAAACAAACAACTCAAAACATCATCCAATAATAAGACCTGCCAATTCATTTCCTATTTTTAACACAACAACTCAAAAAATTTGTAAAAAAATCACGTCACATCATCCATAATAAGGTGACAACTCATCTCATCTCATCTTCTATTCATAATTTCCTTTTTTTTTAAAACCAACCAAAACAACTTCAAAAAATTATAATAGGAAATAGGTTTCCTAAAGTTTGATTTCCCAGTTTTTTTGGCCAAACGAACAGGCCCTTAGTAGATTTGAGGTCTCATTTCAACAACATCTTACCAAATTGGCAAAATTCTCGTCCTACATTGACACGCCTCAAAAGGTAACCGATCGGGGGGGCCCACATCCACCGGAAATAAACTAAGGGGGTGTTTGTTTTGCTTTTTTTTGGGATATGATAGTTTTGGGATGTAAAAAGTGCTTTTTTGTGGTTTAAAAAATCCATAACTTTGTTTGTTTCACTTTTTTTTTGGGATATTGAATCCCTAAATTTAAAAATAATATTTTATTAGGATTTGTGAAATTCTCTCTTGTTCATCTTTTTTTTGGATATAAGTTTTTAGAAATCGATAACTTTGTTTGTTTCAAAAACCAATTTTGGGATATCAAATCCCAAAAATTAAAACTATTATATTTTAGGCATTTGTGAAATTCTACACTGAGAGAGGATGTGGCGTTGGATATTGATGTATTAATGGCTTATAATATAAGATTAATATAAGATTAATATATTATATTATAATTATTAATAAAATAATATTTATATAATACATTCTATATATATATATATATTATAATATATTAATTATAATATATATATATAATATAGATATATATATATAATTTATATATATATATATATATATATATAGTATATATTGCATTTAACCTCTGCCCTATATATATATATATAAATAATATATTATTATAATAAATATATATATATAATTATATATATATATATATATAATATATATATATATATATATATATATATATATATATAATCATTATTATATATATATATAATATATATCATTATATTTATAATGATATAATATATATAATTAATATATATATATATAGTATTTGTTATTTTTTTTATATATATATATAATAATATATATATAGATATATATTATATATTATTTATATATAATATATAATATAAATATATATAATATAATATATATATACAAATATTATATATTATATATCACTGTTCATGCTGTAGTAAATTACTGTAGCATATTATATATATATTATATAAGATATATATATATAATATGTATAATAATATTATATTATTTATATATATAATATAAATATATCATATATAATAATATATAATATATATTAATATAATATATATTTATATATAAAATATAAATATATAATATATATATAATATATATTTATATATATATAATATGTATATATAATATTAATATTATTTATATATGTAATTATAAATTATATATATAGTAATATTATTATATAATATATATATATACTATATATATAATATATAATTTTTATATATAATAATATATATATTAAACATATATATAATATATATATATATATATATATAATATATATATAATATATATATATATATATATAAATATTATATATTATATATATATAGTATATATATATAATATATATATTATATTATATATTTATAACATTATATATTATATATCAATGTGCATGCTGTAGTAAATGTTGTAGTAAATACTGCTAGCATATATTATAATATATATATATATATTAAATTAATTTATATTATATCTTAATATATATAAATAATATATAAATAATATAATATATATATAATATAAATTATATAAATTATATAACAGATTATATTGTTTGCGTGTTAAATTTAGGATAAATAGATCTTTTTCTAGGTATCATGAGATTGAGCAAATGTAAACCCATAAGTAACATTTAAAAGCTTGTTTCAGAAGCATGTGTCTGAGCTATGTTTCTAGCTCTTCATTGGATAGTGTCCATGAATTACTGGTGGTTTCTACTGATAAGCCTGTTTGACATTTTAATTTAAGAGTCAACATTGATACTTGTACAATGAACAGTGGATATTGGTAGGGGTATTGATACTTGCACCACAATCTCTCCCTGTACTTGTATAGTGGATAAGAATTATGTTTTACCTGTCTGTGAACTTTTAAGTTTTTAACCCAAAACGTTGTCTATTGTTATAATTTCCATTTAACTTTTCTTCTGGGTTTTGCAGGCCATGAATTTTTTTGCAGGACTATTACTATTGCTGATGCCTGAGGAAAATGCTTTTTGGTAGGTTCCCCTGTCAGCTCCTCCTTAAGGCCTTAACAAATATCCTTTGAATGTGAATGATCATGATTATTTGACTGTTGTATATATAACTTACTAAGTATAGCAAACATTTTTCTTGTACGAATAATGGTAGGAGTCAGAACTTACTGATCCTAATTATATGGAAACCTGTCAGGGCTTTAACGGGTATTATTGATGATTACTTTGATGGGTACTATTCTGAGGAAATGATTGAATCTCAGGTAATGTATTTGCTGTGTATCTTTGTTGTTTGGAGTGAATCAAGCAACCATCTTCCACTTTCTATTGTCTGCTTTCTTTGATGGTAAAGATTTTTGAATATCATGTAGTTTTTGGGGAAAATACTTAATGTATCTTTGTGCAGGTGGATCAGCTTGCTTTGGAGGAGTTAGTGCGTGAGCGATTTCCGAAACTTGGTGAGTGATGGTGTATATACTAGTTGAAGATGCATGTAGAACTTATTAATTACTGTGTGAATTTATACATGTCATTTCAGTGAATCATCTGGACTACCTAGGCGTGCAGGTTGCATGGGTCACTGGACCCTGGTTCCTTTCAATATTCGTGAATACACTTCCTTGGGAAAGTGGTAAACCTCTAGTTTCTGTTTATCTTATGACAGAATTTCCATGTTTTGTTATTGCAAAGTTCAAGGCGGGTAGTAGCGATATCCTTGTTATAATACTCGACTTATTTCAGTTCTTCGCGTGTGGGATGTGCTACTCTTTGATGGAAACAGGGTCATGCTATTTCGTACAGCTCTTGCCTTAATGGAGTTTTATGGTAATAGTTTCTTGCTTCTGGTTTCTGATTTTTATACACAATAAACAGAAGCTTCCTTTCTTTTCTTTGTCCTTGAGCATTATATGTTAAACCTTTTATTCTAACTTTATGACTGATTTTTAATTATAGGGCCTGCGTTAGTGACTACAAAAGATGCTGGAGATGCCGTTACCTTATTGCAGTCCCTTGCTGGTTCAACTTTTGACAGTAGTCAGCTTGTTTTGACAGCTTGCATGGGATATCAAGCTGTAAATGAACTCATACTTCAGGATTTGAGGAATAAACATAGACCAGCAGTTTTAGCTGCTTTGGAGGAGAGGTCCAAAGGACTTTGTGCCTGGAAGGACTCCCAGGGTCTTGGTTCAAAGCTATATAGTTTTAAACATGGAGCAGGATCAATACTCACAGAAGCGAACTCAACAGATGGCTCAGGTGAGAGTGAGCTAAACGGGGACCTGGATCAAACGGAGATTGATTCTGCAAATATAGATGGTTTTCTCGGTAATCTAACGACTAATGGGGAGTCAGATTCTGAACCTGATTTCAAAGAACAGGCAATCTTCTTGTTGCTTAACTTTGTTGTAGTTTTATCATTTTTGTTTATTAAAGGCAATAAGTCTGTGGTAGTAAACCATCACCGAATACATATTCCAACAAGGCCTACTTAATCAGTATTATATGAATGCNCGAGCCAAGTTAAAATAGATAAGGAATATGGTCTGCCAATATGGAGGTCATTGATAGGTAGTATCTAAGTTGTTATATTTGTCACGGTATCAAACATAGACATCCATAGGTTAGGCTGTTTCTTGTTACCGATGGTTATGCTGTATTTTATCCTAAAGGAAAGTTGAGATGGAGGTATCTCCACAGTGGAAAAGGAAACACACTCATTGATCAAGTCATCTATCATTGTGGATAAGCTTATATAGCTCTTCAAGCTTCGTCCATCTGCTGAGAACTCAGGCACAGTATGGTGCTCACAGCAAATCAAAGTAAAATCGAGCGCTCGATGAGCGCAAGCAAATCGTAGTGATAGAATTAGCGTACAGTATTATGTCTCTGTTTTACTCTTTCATTGGTTGTTTCCAGATGGTAAAAGTTGAACTCCTTTATTTGTTTAATGCACTTGAAGACCAAGGATCAGCCAGCTCAGATGTGATCAGTAATTGGTGTTTTTGTTTTATTTTCCTAAATTCAGGTGACATGGTTGAAGGTTGAGTTATGCAGATTGCTGGAGGAGAAAAGATCAGCCCTTCTCAGGTTGGATGTTGCTCTGTCATTTAATGTTAGTTGACTAAATATAAAATATCTTAGAAGGGAAATGAGCATCTGCTTCCTGGATAGTTACAAAAATGCATATGCACCTACATCCAAGTATTATATTGCATTATTCCACATGTCACACAAATACTACGTACATAGACTTAAGGCGAGTAAAGGGGGAAGCCATTCTACAGGAAGCTATGTTTTACTCTCACGGTGAGAACTGTGTGATAAATTCAAAGAGTGAAATATTCTACATTGGCTGCGACTTACAATATCCATTGGAAAACATATTCGAAACATTGATACTTCTTGTTTATTTGAGGCTCAGTCTTATGCGTCCTTTCTGATAAAAAGGATAATCTATTACTTGTTCTTATTCAATTTGTTTAATTTACTTTCTATGCGGGCATATACGTGCATCTTTTTGTACGTGCATCTTTTTGTGATATTGGAAGTTATGCCTGGTCTGTGGGATATTATACATGTTTCCCCTCTAACGATAACCTACAGAAAAATGTTATCCCTATTCTCAGCTCTTGATTTTTGCACTTACCTCCCACCTTTCTTAGTTTAAGTTGCTATTCATGTGTTTTTCTTTTGCCTCAGAGCTGAAGAGCTGGAGACAGCATTGATGGAGATGGTCAAGCAGGACAATAGACGCCTTTTGAGTGCTAAGGTATATATATCTGCAGTCTCAACTATGCAGAGTATAGGCAACTATTGTGTCTTGCTATATGGCTTCTTTTTTCTGTAACTGTCCTGGAAGCACGTTTACACAATCTATTTGGCGATTGCCAGCTGATTTAATGATTACATCTCTAAGCTTCAAGAAAATAGTGTGAAGATCCTGAATATTTACGCTGTTTCCTTCCACATTCAAAATTAGTCAGGTATATAGTGAAATGGAAGATACTCTTTGATTTGATCTTCAACGACTAGACTGGTTTTGAATCTGCACCAGCTGCTTCATTCTTGGAATCTTAGATTCCTTTTGTCTTGATCCTTGTTCATTTTTTCAATTGTTGCTGGGTCATGGGATTTCAGTGCTATACCTAAATTTTAATAATTGAATATGTTATGAAATAACCTGGTTCTTTTAGGGACCTATAAGTAGAGTCTGAACAAATAAGTTCTGAACCTTACAGAGGCCCAAATGAATGTAATTCATCAGACTTATACCATTTGTTCTCCCACTGGATTTCCTGCCTAAGTTCCTACGTTGGTAAAAAACTTAAAAGCAGATTGAATCTTCATATGTTAAAACGCCGACTAAATTCCCAATGATTCAACCACATGTCCTACCTAGCAGATTGTAACTCAACTTCCACCTCTTCATAAATTGTGTCCTCCCTGCTATTCTCCATATGTGTATATTTCAGAATAGTTCAGTTACTCAATTTAGTTGCAGAGGAAGTTGCTGGGTTTTTCAACTTCTTGTCCAAGTGATGACTATACAAAATGCAGTATATTGTAATCATCAGAATCAAGTCCTGCACTCTACCTTTATACATTGGTGAATGAGAAATCCATGAAATGCAGACTGTCATTTGATGTTGTAGAACCAAAGAGAGTTGTAAATCTTGCAGCAGAGAGACAAGTTTCTAAAGCTTTCCTTTGTAGGGCTATTTTCATGTTGCAGTACTGAATTAATAGATCTTCAATCTTATCATCTATATGGAATTTTGTGGTAAAAATTTTGAAGCTGGACCCATACCTGACCTGAAGTTGACTTTTTGTCAGGTGCAATCAGTTGTGGTCCTTGTGGATCATAATTAACTTGACTCAAATTACCCTTTTGATAAAGGAGTTGGATGCAGATATGTGATCTTCACATGATTAATCATAATGTTTCTCATCTACTATACAAACATACATGTGTGCGTCACTGTGTGTGGCCGGCGTTTGCCTGTGCATGTGTGTTTTCAGTGTTATGTTGTATCTCTTGGTAGTTCATGTAGAAAAATGAGTTGCTACCCCTCCCTCCCTCCCTTCATCTCGAGCGCACGCGCACACTTACGTATGCACGCGCACACACACTACACACATGCATGTATGCGCACATAGATACATATACATAAGCCTTGTAGAAAGACTAATGGCTCGTGGCCTTTTGTAGCTGCTCTGAATCAATGCTTTTGTACAAAGTTGAAAAAACATGAGCCCTTAATTAAATGGATTTTTGTGTCAATAATAATGGAATGGACATGAAAAGCAGTTATATGTAGGAAGACTTCTTTTTGAACTTCTGTGCCTTTAGCCTATGCATGTTAATCCTTCGTTTTTCTTAAGCTTATTTTCTTTCACTATTTTCTGATAGGTGGAGGAATTAGAGCAAGAGGTATCACAGTTGCAGCAAGTTCTTAAAGACAAGCAGGAACAAGAACATGCTATGCTCCAGGTGGTTTTTTTTTGCTTGACTTTGCTTATCTCTATTGTTTTGTTTATCTTGATGCTCCATAGGAGTATATACATTTTGTAAAAATTCTCTTATAACTATTATAGGTTCTAATGCGAGTAGAACAAGAGCAGAAAGTGACTGAAGATGCTCGGATATTTGCAGAACAAGAAGCTGCTGCCCAGAAATATTCTGCTCATGTGTTCCAGGTTCTTTCTCACCTTTGATATTTTGCATCATTATTGTTTATTTACACTGTAATTTTATTTTACATTGTAATATGCTTTTCTCGGTTGTGGACATTAGATTAGGTCTGTGTTCAAGAAAGTGTACTTTCTAGCTAGAACTTGGAAGCAATATATTTTGTATGCATTACCCAACCTTATCAGATGTGTGCAGGAAAAGTATGAAGAAGCCATGTCTTTACTTGCGAAAATGGAGAAGAGAGCAATAATGGCAGAATCTATGTTAGAAGCTACTCTGCAGTATCAATCTAGCCAAGACAAGTTACAATCTCCAAGGTATCAAGCTAGCTGATTGTCTCATACCTACAAATCTATACATACTTATATCTGTTGTATTCGTTGCTGGATCATTTTTAATGTTTCACAATTTGTCGTGATTTTTTATTTCAATTTGAAACATGAAACAATCAAGTTCGAGACTCCCATTATTACAGCGTTAACCCCCCTGACCCTCAGCTAGTACTAAACAACATTTGTTTTTACTGCTCTGATCGTGTTTTTTTAATGTACTCCCTCCACTGAAAAACATTCTCACTCACAATTTATCTGTAAATATGTGACTTTTTATTTGCCTCATGACTGTGATAATTTTTCTATAGAACCCCTTCTGCGGATAATCAACCGGCAAGATACAATCAGGATCCATCTCAAGATTTCCCTGCCAGAAAAGTAGGCTTGCTTTCTATGCCATTTGGACTCGGGTGGCGAGATAAGAATAAGGTAACCTCTTATTTGTTAATATCTTATATATTGTTGAAATATACATTGTTCAGAGTTGGCCTATTATTATAGAATGCTAATACTACAGAGTTTGAATCTGACACAGTCGTGAGTGAAACAGAGAATTCAGATCAACCTAATGGAACAAAAAGAAATTTTGATATATTGTAATGTGCCAGTTCCCTTCCGCTTGTATGCAATATCAGTGGAAGTCATAAGTGCAGGATCTCCATATTTCTTCTCTAAACTGGAGCCGAAGTCTCTAAAGCCCCAAATTAATCTATACGGTTTAGATTGCTGGCTGCCAACCTATTATCAATGCTCTAAGATTTGGTGCCTAGCTTTGGAGCAAAGCAACTACGATCAAGAGTGAACCTCGCCAGCAGATAAAAGCCTGCTGTTATACAGAGATACTGGCACTATAAATTATGTTTTGTGGCACAAAGTTAAAGGCTTACCTTTCTATCCTCTCAGCTAGGAAATAATCTGAAGCAAGTAACCCGACACTATTAGCACTTTGCACATTCACGCAGAGAAGGATGATAAAGGGGAAGTTTGAGGGATAAAAGAACCCAGTTGCGCTGTCAAGTGTCATCTGCTTTCTCCACTCTCCTTCCCAAATCGAACAGCTGATCTATGAATGTATAATGATCTAATTGGTTAAATACCAATTGATCATCCCTATTTCTAATTCAAGCAAAGCCTTAAAGACAATCATATTACAGCAGCTACTCTTCAAGAAATCCAACTTTTTTTTCCCGCTCTTAAGACATGATATTGTAATTGGCATTTGTACCCAGGTGATTCTTTTATTCACTAGTTGAGAACATTTCACTAAATTGCAGGGAAAACCGAGCAATATCGAGGAGAACGTTGAAGTGAAGACCTCTAATGGTCAGGGCCAGGAACTACCAGCTCCAGGCGACAAAGATACGAACGGGCACCACGAATTTGAGAAGGTGGAGCTTTGATGGAGATAAGTGAACGTATCAACTCAAATCATGTTACTTATCTTGGGCTCATATCGTGCTGTGCTGATTCCTGTTAATGCCAATGCCCAATGAAGATCGCAGGACAAAGCTGAGTTTCATTGTTTGTCATCATCAGTCCCAAATTCTGATAAAGCCTGCATCTGTGGCATTAATATTCATTGTAATTTGTCATACAAAACGATATATGAGTTACGATATATGAGTTGATAGTCATTGTTGATTATATACTAATAAACAATTGGTATAATAAAGCCAAATAAAAATGAGGCTGTTGAGATCAAAGCTGCCATGTTGTCATGTTATCATCTGTTGTTTTTAGGGGGTGTTTGTTTTCAATCAAAAATTTTGGCATTTGGTATGGATCACAAGTTTGGGATAAAAAGTGAGTTTTTTTTTTTGTATTGGGATTTCATATATGATGTTTGTTTAAGAATTTTTTTAGAATATTGAATTCCAAAAGTAAAAAAGTGCCTAATTTTTAGAATTTTCTAAATCCTCTCATTGGAGAGGATTTTGACAATACCTATAAATGTGTGTGCTTACCTCTCAATTGGACAGTATTTGATAAATCTTATTTTGTTTTTTGTGGGAGGTAACCTCACCAAGATAGTATATTCATCGTATTATAAAATTTTGGCATTTGGTAATGCTACAATTTGAGTTGAACAAAGCAAAAATATTACACACTTGTAGATTCCAAATTTACGATAACCTTTTTAATATAATAGAAAAAACAAAGTACCAGTATTATTTTAGAGAAATCCAAGAGAAAATCCAAACCACCAAAAATAATACAAAAAAAAAAAACAATAAATGGTGTTTATATTATTACTTCTTCAATTGTGCAACTCCATATCCATTTAATACCCAAACTTAATACGGATTTGAAACAAAACACCCCTTAGGAGCTGTTTGGTGGGTCCTAAAAACCAAAAAAAGGAAAAGTACAAAAAAGTGTACTAAGGAAATTAATAAAAATAACCTATTTTCTTTTGAATCCCATTTCCATCCCTAAAACTCAACACTATATCAATACCAATTATTATATTTTGATTATTTGTGGAATAGTTAAAAAATATCCTAAAAAAAACAAAAAAAAAAAAACAAGCGTTTTAAGGAATTATTTTCGAGGGGATTTTCCCACACTATTTTTTCTTTGAAAAAGCTTCTTAAAAGAAGGATTCAAACTACATCTTTGTCATCTCCCTTTAAATATACCTTTTCTAAAATATAAAAATAATTAACCTATATTCACAAGAGACTTAAATGTGGTCAAATCATTCTACCCGCTCACTCAACATCTAAATTTTATCTCTATATATGTGAGAAAAGTCATTTGTTATTCACAAGTATATTAAAAATCCAAAAACCATGAGATATTGGACAACTCATGCCTTCTATTTCTCACTCCATGGATAAACATGTTTTTTCCCAGAAAAAAAAAAAAAAAAAAAAAAAGGGGAAGCCATTTTTTATAGCAAAGGGGACACCCAATAAGGGGATTTTTGGGCCTATTTATACTCTGCATTTAAGGGTTTGAAAGACTGCAGGAATACAAATATTATATCTATTAATATATTAATACACCGCATTTATAATGTAAATTTTCTCTAAAGATAATTATGTAAAAAACGAGGGGGGCGATCATTAATTTAGGTACCTCTTCGAGCTCCATCTTGACCCCCAAAAATCTTCTCTACCTACCTCTCTCTTATTTTTAAAAACGAATCTCATATACTACTCAAACAACCTCAAAACTTCTATTTTTCTCGCATGTCTAATCCCATAACGCTATCTCTCATTATGCGCCTCTTTAGTGTATTTGGAGAGACAAACAAAAAAAAACGACAAAAAACAACCACAAAAACAAGATTTAATTCCCAAACAAAAATTCTATTGGAGGTACAACAAAAAAATTGTGATATTTAGGAGTGACAACAATCATGCATAACAATCCTCTTCAATACAAATCTAATAATAAAATAGCACTAATTATATATTGGATATAGTTTCAATCGCGAAGAGAGCGACAGAGATTAAAATAGTTGCTAAATTAGGAAATAGAGATATTCATAAAAGTTAGAATATTCCCAAGATAATTCCTATATGAGCTGAACAAAAAAAAGGGGCAGAATCAGTGTCACGGGGTAAATATTGTATTATGAAAAAAAGGTCTTTTATTTCAACAGACATCTCTTTTGCTATTTAAAAAGGGCGATTAATATCGGTTTATATATCAATGCAAACAGGTGGTAACAATATGAGAACAACAGCACTCAAAAACATTGTAATCCAGATTCTTTTGAGAGTGGAATTTTCCCCCCCAAAACACAGGGAACCCACGGCCAATTATATTAAAACTAAAAAGGAGAAAAATTGTGTTCCCCGTATTGACTATTTTTATAGAGCCATAAATAAAATAGTATTAATTAGGATAGATAAAAAAAAGGATAATATTTATATGGTATATAAAAAAGGCCATAGACTGGTCACTCGTTTCAATCAATTATTTGGAAGATATAAGAATTTGTAGCAACTATATATTTATATTTAAGGCACACACTCTCACGTCATAGAGATAGGAGAAATCAGTCTCTCTGAATATCAAAAATATAAATTTTGGTATTATAAAGGATATTAATAAAAAAAAAAATACACTATTGCTATATGTTTACAATAGATTATTGTAACAAATACAAGGAAAAAAATAATCTAAAAACATAGTTAAAATAATAAAATTGAGGGCAATTAGGTGAATTTTTTTATCCAACAAGGGAGAAAGAGGATAAGAGTATGGCCGGCATAAATTTTAAGAATAGATAGATCTTAATGGTAAAAGCTCAAAAATTAAAATAAAAAACATAATAAAGAATAATAAATAATAAAAGAAATATAGTTAAAATAATAATATTTTTTCATATTTTGTTTTCGATAAATTTTATGATTTTATTACAAAATATTATGAGATGGAAGAATTTAATTTTGATATATAATATATAAAGTCGCCCAGGGGGCCAAGAAATTATTTTTGGTAGAATATATTTAGCTTTTTCTTCACTCTTTGAAATTTTTAATTATTTTTTTCCTCCACCTAAAACAAAGTTTTTCTTCACCGTTGTAAGAAGTTATTAAATTAAATAAAAAAAAAAATAATAACATTAATTATGGCTTTTCCTGTTATAGGGGAAAATAATTGGCTTCTCACCCCCCAATTTTTATACTTATATTCGGCCTTTTTTGAATAAAAAAATGAGGGTCCTATATTGGGTTTTTTACGCTAGTTTTATTATGGTTTAGTTTTTGGGAAAAAAACAAATTGTTTTGGGGGTAAAAAGTTTTAATGCAAAAATTAATAAATTACTATGGGGATTGTAAATAAAAAGGTTTTTTGCTAAATATTTGCATTTATATTGTAATAAAAAAAAAATAAAACCTATTATTCCCTAAAAAAGGTGTGAAAGCATTATATTATTTTTTCAATAAATATTTCCTTTAAAAGTATTAAATTTTTAAAGGATTTTAATATTTTATTTTATAACATATTAATTAAAATAGAGGAGAGTCTAAAATCTCTTAACTGAAGATTGTCTCTCTATGCATCTATATATTATTTTAAAAAAAACCTTCAAAAAAAAAAACGCTCCTAAAAATATTTGTTTTTTCCAAAAAATCTGTTATTTTAGGTGTAGGAAATAATTATATTAAAAATTATTCTAAAATAAAAACATAACCCTTATATTATTTTTCTGAAAAATTTTTTCCTCCACCCCATTTTCTTGAGGAAAGGCTTTGGTGCTGGAATCCTTTTCTTCCCAAAATAAAAAAGAGGTTTTTTTTGGAATTAAAAAATCTATAAAATTCAAAATAAAGAGGAAAGTTTTCCAAAAAAACTTTTTTTTTTTTTTTTTTTTTACCCTAATCCTGTGGAAAAAAATTATACCTAATTAAAAAACCAAATTTTTTATGGGGGGGAAGTTTTGAAAAAAAAACAAGAGGGACCCCCAATAAAAAATTACCTTGTTTTTTACGCTTAAAATTATTCTAATTTTTGGCCTGCTGGGCCTTCCCCAATTAATTTCGATGCGGGCCCTTTCGGGATTTTTTTTAAAACTTTTTTTGATTTTTTTGCTTTTTTTTTTTTTGAAAAAGCCTACCAATTACTTGTTGCCTTTTTTTCCTAGGACAACAAATAAAAGTATGGAAATGTAAAAAGTTGGAAATAAAGAAATAAAAAGCTATTTATTTTTTAAATGAGGCTTATCAAATACTCCATTTATATGTATTAATGTATTTGGTGGGTAATATATTTTTGTTAATATTATATTTTGTTGTGTTTTCGCTTTTTTTCCAAAACCTTTGTTTAGGGGGAATAAGATTTTACCCTCCTATATTCGTTCCATTTATATACTTTTCTTTAGGGATTAAAATTTTTTACATAGGCTTTTTTAAAAAAATATATAAACCCACCCCATAATTCCGGGTTTCAAAAACCAAAAAATAGGGGATAAAAAAATAAACATTATTAACCGTAATTTTTATATTTATATTTGAGTTTTCTTAATTGGATTATATTTGTTTTTTTAATTATTGAAAACTCATGTGGGAAACAATAAAAATAAATATTATAATATAATAAAAATATAAAAATCAAATAAATAAAAACTTTTAAAGGAATTTTTTAATCTATTACCTTTATCAAAAATTAGGGATTATTCATACATTTATTTGGGGCCCCAAAATATCTTATAATTTCCCCTTTATAAATATTTTAATTTCTTTAACTAAAATACTGGAGGGCTTTCGTGCATATTTATCATAATTAATATTAATAAATAAATTGAAAAATATAAAAAAAGTTAGAGGCTATTATGTTAGGGGGAATATTTTATTGTTAATTTTCGGTTTTTGATATTGGTTTTTTCTTTATAAACTCCTTTTTTTACCCAATAATAACCAAGGTGAGGGTGAGAAAATATCTAATTATTTTGTACTT